GCTGTGGCTGGGTGCAGCAGCTCCCCGCCCGTTAGCGGCCTCGTCCCGCTGAGCAGCGCACGGCGGCCGAGACGAGGGTCCCGCGGCCGACTTTGGCTTTGCCAGAAAGCACAGAAACGGCTCGTCAGGCTTTAGAAATGGCCACGCCTGCGGTGGGAACCGGTAGCACCGTCGGTAGTGGTGCTCGCGGCCTCCTGCAGGCGTAACCACGTTGGTGACAATAAGGCTACTGGCTTTTCAGCAATCAGCGAATTGGAACTGAGTTTTAATTAAGAAAATCCCAAAACAAGCATGTTTGCATTAAACTCCAGAGTAGTGCTTGTTCTCAGATTTGATGGGTGTAAATTCTGTCACTTTTTTGAGATCCTCTCCTTCGCTAAGCATTTGCTCATTCTGGAAAAGTGTTTGTGGCAGAACGTTGCAGTTGTAGTTCTCTAATACGGTACCCGTGCAAAAGTTTTTCAGTGTACAGTGAAAGCCATTTCAAGGGATATGGCATTATTGTTTCACGAAAGATCATACAAGTGCATTTGGAAGCAGTTAAAAATTCACGTTAGCTTATTCAGGCTCAGGTGGTAATGGGTATGTTCAGATCAGCAAGGGACCTAGAGGTTTTAGGACGTGGGAAATGTCCTCAGCGTTACGAATTGAACTAATTTCATAATTTCAAGTGTAGAAGGTAATTCTGAAGTCCTTTTTATTATTTTTAATAGTGTAATACACTTCTTTTTAAATTATGCATTAAAGTGAGAAAGTTCATATGGAATTAAGAACAATACCATAAATAGCAATAATTTTTAATTATTCCCTCTGCAGTAAAAGTTGAACTCATCTTTGTCTCTGGGAACTGTTGATAGATTAATGCAACAGATTTTCCTCTCCAAAACTTAGAGAATTTTCTCAGTGTAGCACCTGATAAGCCAGTACAACCAAGTCGTGGGAGCCTGACATATTTAGGGGCTGATTTAATAAATACCATGGAGTTAGTAGATTTTCTAATCCTTGCTTGGAACTCAAGTTGTCTGTGAAGTATGAGGAAATAGTTTTAGCTAAGAGCATGGCATACTTGTGACAGTATAACCTAGATACCAGGCTTTATTAGTTACATTAATTTGACACATATGTTTATAGTCATCAAATTATATTTACATAATTTACAGTCAAGCAATTAATACTATGTAAATTATTCGGTTTGATAAACGTATTTGTAGATGTGCTACTATAAGCATGGTACATTTTAGCAAAAATGTTTTAATGTTGGGATTATTTTTTGTCACTCCTAATGGGGACAGTATTGGATGACAGTATACTTTTAGTAATAACTGTTAGAAGAAAGAAAAGTTGTCTTAACAGTGTTATTTCAAGCTCAGTAGAAAGATTGGTTACTTTCAGTGACAGATTTAAATGTATTTGGTATATCAGAAGATAAATTTGTCACTGTCTTTTGTCACCATCTCAGGCAGGTTTTGATTATGTATTACATGGATGGATATCATTCCAGTTATCAAAAAGAGGAAAATAATTCTTTGACATAGCAAAGTTGCTTTTTGGCTGTTTCAAGGGTCATTCTCTAGTGCAAGCTTTTTCATAAATCTGACTAGCTTCCTCACTGTAATAAAAATGAAACTTTTTACTTCTAAAAAGTCAGTATTGGATACCAGCATATGAAGTGAGAATTTGCTTTGTCATATAAATAAATCTTTAGGAAAAAACAATAACTGAATTTTATCAAAGTAATACTGTAAAGAATGAAAAATTAAAAGGAAATTTCTCGGGAAACATCCTTAGTGTAAGCATTCTTAGGGGTTCAAATCATCACGTAAAGTATAGAAGCATACAAACAGTACCTACACAGTACCGTTTGTATGCTTTTATCTTCAAGGTGGGAAGGTCCTTAAGTGATGTATGTCTTTGAGAGAGAGAACTTGTATGAAAGACATAAAGATAAAATTCTTTTTGCACTTTTAAGAGGGTTCATTATTTTGTTTTCCTGATGCGAGTATCTGAAGTATCAGTTGGGGGGGGGTTTACCCTTTTTTTTTGTCTTTGAGTCTTATTTTTAGGAGAGATCTTTTATATTAATTTTAAAAGTGTAGAGAACACTAAGTTTTTCTTCCTGGAAACTTCTGGGACCATGTAGGAGGAAAACTGCAAACTTCAGTACTTTAATGGCAACTGGTCCTGAAGCTTTTTTTTTACTAAAATTTTCACTGAATATTGAAGTTTCATGTTTTAAAATAAATGCAGTCTGTCTGAAAACCCCTTCTGTGTGTATGTTCAGAGCTCTTAGTTTCCTTACTGTTGTGATAGAGCTTTCCAGCGTGGGCTAGTCCTAAAAGGAGCAATTAAAAGTAAAAACCTCTTATGTTGCAATAAAAGCACAAACCACAATTTTTGTGCATTGCAAGTCGTCTCTAATACCTACCCACACTATGTAGGATGTCAATTTTGGGGTTTTTTTGCTTCCAGCAAAAGTACTGAAGCAAAGTAAACTTCATTGTATGTGTTTCAGCAGAAAGGAAGGCGTAAGCCGTTTCTGCCATCATTTGAATGCATGAAATCTTCACCATTTCAGATCTTGCTTAGGTTGTTAAACTACTCCTCCAACAAGACGATAGCTCTAGGGCATGAGGAAATCTGCTGCTGCTTGATATTATGAGTGCTGAGCGATTTAAATTTTCCTTTTGGTCATTGTTGATATTAAAATTTACAATATAAAATTATAATATTACTTTTTCTTTAAAAAAAAAACCAAACCTCTCTAGTCTGCTGGAGCATATTGAAATGTAGTGGAACTTACTCTTTTTTCAGGACAGATGGAAGTTTTGTGGTTCATGATGTACCTTCAGGATCTTACGTAGTGGAAGTTGTATCACCTGCTCATAAATTTGAGCCCGTGCGAGTTGACATAACTTCAAAAGGCAAAATGAGGTGAGTTTTTCCTGATTTACTTCTCTATTGATCTATTAAGTATGCCTGACAGCACAGTATAGGAGCTAACGTAGCAGCGCTGTAGATCTGATATTCCATTTCAGACCATATGTTTCAACTTATTTTAACATAATTTCTAGGAGCATATTTCTTAAAATCCAAAGTCTGATTTCTTCCTTTCTTATTTATGGCCTTAAATAAGAGGAAATGGATAAGAAGAGTCCTGTTTGTTTACTGTTATTTTTTTATGCAGCTATCCTGAAGTAAAATCTACACATGTCACTTAACTGCTTTATCTTTTGCCAATACCTTTATTTTAAATTCTTCTCTTTTCCTTTCTTTTTTTGGTAAATGTTCTGTCAAGACTTGGCACAATGAAATTCTAATTAATTCTAATTCTAAATTCTAAAATATTTCTGTGATACCTCCTCCCTAAGATACTCCTTATAGTTACTGGTAAATGCTGGTAGTTGCCAGCCTGCAGTATTTCTGTAGCATTATTAGCTTTTTTTTATGTTACAGCCAGATACGCATTGTTAGGGATATAACTCTATGTAACTGCATGATTCTCAGTAAGTAATGCAGAGAAATGGCTATCCTACCTAATAAGGTGATTTTTGTTTAAATTAACACCTTTGTACTTAATTTTTCTTCATACAGGCACACACAGAGTATTTTAATTTAAACTTCGTCTTTTACAGTATCTTGTAAAATATGCTGTTACATTTTAGAAGTATAAACACCAAGATAAATACTACAGCAGTATTTTTAGGGGACGTTAAAAATTGAAATCTCAAACTAAAATGAGTGCAGTCTGTTTATAATAATAATAGCACAATTTGTGTTTAGATTTTTTTTCCCATACTTTATGAAATTTTTATTTTTATGCTTTATTAGGCAGTATCTCACTGGCAACAACTAATATGTAATAAAAATGGAAGGAACTTCATGAAATAAACACAATAGTGTGTATAACCTCTCAGCACTCTTTTGTATTTGTGGGCTAGAGGTAACAGATTTGACATCTCTACCAGTCAAACAAGTAGGAACTATAACAAAGAATACAGCTGGGAGATGTATGAAGAAATGTGATACATGGGGAAAATGTCAACTGGTCTTTTCAAAGGGAAGTTCTGCCTTCAAAAAAATACTGGAATTCTTAGAGGAAACAGCTTGTTGATAATGGATATGTTTGATAATATCTACTTGAAAATCTCAAAAGCTTTTGAAGAAAATATGTAGTCCTAAAGGAAGGAAAGACATTCTGTGGATGAATGTTTGGTGAAAAATTAAGAAGGAATGAGTGATTTCTCTTGTAATGGGCAGAAGGCATCCCTGGAGTTGCACAACATGGCTAAATAGTCATAAATCAGGAAAAATGGGTGAAGAGTGACAAAGTTTGATGATAGTATCAAGTGACTATCTAAATGCTAAGCCTAAGTGAAGAATACTAAGGAAGAGCTTTCGAAAGATGTTTTAAAGTAATAAAGACTGAGATGTAGTATTGATAAATGCAAAGTAATGCACTTAGAGTGAAGGTAGTATTAATACAAAAATAATTACTGCTCTGAGCAAACTCTGTTTAAGCTACACTATACTGTTCAAAGCTGTACATTCTCTTTAAACATTGTAGCTTTTCTTGCTCCTTATGAAGATGAGAAAAAATACTTTGCAGAAGTAACACTTGAAGGAATAGTTCTGATGTTTCTGATCTACGAGTCTGTTTCTATAACAGGATTTTCAGCCTGCTTAATAACTAGCCTGGAAAAAAGGTTAAAGTACCATTTGATTGCATAAAATATGCTGAGAAAAATTAATTTCTGAAAAGTGAAGCCTAGCTATCACTGCCTAGCAAGTAGTTATGTTTATAGCCCATTAGGAAAACTTTGGAATATTATTAAATAATCTATTTTTTGTTAAAGATTTTATCTATATTTTATTTACATTTTGCTCATTAGAGCAAGATACGTGAATTACATCAAAACCTCTGAAGTTGTCAGGCTGCCATACCCACTCCAGATGAAATCTTCTGGACCTCCTTCGTACTTTATAAAGAGAGAATCTTGGGGATGGACAGATTTCCTCATGAACCCTATGGTACGTACCAGTGACACACAAAGGTTAAAAGTATGCTAAGGATCCAAATATAGCTATTCTTCAGAATACTGAGAATAAAATAACTGAGAAAAGATGAGCTGCTCTTATGAGAGGACTGCTTTTTTTTTTTTACATGTTTACAAATAGCAGGTTTTTTCTATAACCTCTCCTCCCCTGTATACCCACTCTTTTAATGTATGTTCTCTGAAAATACAGCCTATAGTCTGGTTCCTTTGACAGCATGATGTTCTAGTCATGTGGAGATCAACATGTATCAAGACTGTAGTTATAACAGTTGAAAGAGATAACAAGCATTTATTTTAATTGTCCAACTTTGAAATCTGTTATTTAAAACTTAATGCTTCCTTATCAGGTTTCTTTCCTGACAAGTGGATTACTGTTACTGAGTTACTGAGTCAGAACACAGTAGATTTAGAATTTGGATGTTTTAAAAGATTTATGTCAGTTTGTTAAAGTATGTCCGGAGCAACAAAATAAGCTGAAGAAATACTTGTTGTTTCCTGTGTAGGTGATGATGATGGTTCTTCCATTACTGATATTTGTGCTTTTGCCTAAAGTTGTCAACACCAGTGACCCTGATATGAGACGGGTAAGTACACTGAATTGGTGTAGACATAGAGAGCAAAGATAATGAGATTTTAAGGTACAGAAAAGTAATAAACTTTTAAAGAAGTCTTAATGGGCATCACGTATCCAGTTAGTACAGTGTTGCTGTTCTAACAATGAATTCTAACATTTCAGACTCTTGAATTTACTCTTAAACAGCACAACACAGAATTCAGTTGTTTGATGGCACAGTTTTGAAAGTGTTAGAGTACGAGTAGTGTTTTCCAGAGTTTCTTTAGAGCAACAAAAATAATTCCTCAAGGGCTATTTTTTCTTTAAATTTCTAGTGTATTTCTGCACTATGTTTAAATCTAGCACTTCATTTTTAGGCATCGTTTAGTAAGTGTCAAGTGTGTTGAGAAGAGTATGATAAGGGGTTCTCTTATGCATCAATCTAAGCCACATAGTTTACAAGATTGTTAAATCCAGATGTCACAATAGTGTATATGATAATGGGATCTTAATGTAGTCATTAAATTACCTGATTTATTGTCCTTTCATCATGCCAAATGCCGAATAGCAGAAGGCTAGGACAAAATGGAGATTCAAGGTGTTTGCTAAATCTTTTCTTATTTTTAGAAGTATTCGTCTGTCTTGGGTGGCTTCTTTTTGAGGGTTTGGTTAATTTAAACTCCCTTTCCTCTAAATGACCACTGTCTTTAGTAGTACTTTATAGGTGTCTGAGTCTTCTTTAACTAATACCTATGGAAAGAGTATCAGCTATGTAATACTGTCTTGGCTTTAATTTGGATTAAAATACAGATATAAAGATAACGCTAGATATCCGTGGCATGTTTTTCAAACCAAGCTGAACTTCAGAAGTTGAATTTTTAAAAAATCACTTATTCCTTACTTCTTTTCACTTATCTGATGCTATTTACAGACAGACTGTTCTGATGGTAAGCCATCAGTAGTTCTGATGATTTAGTTCTTATTAGCACAAATTTTAAGTTGAAGGAATCTTGCTTGCAATTTAAATTATCTTTAAAGAATAGGAGAAGGTATTTTTAAGAACTCAATTGTAATGGCATTCTCTAGATGACCATGTATTAAATTCTTAGTGTATATCCTGCTTCAGTTTGCTTGTGGAAGGTATGGAGCTTGTATTACATTTTTCAAGTTAACTTGCTTTTTCTGTATGGAATCAGCACTAGTTTATATAAAAACTTAATGATTTAGTAACTGTGCTTGTTGCAGAGGCATTAAGTAGAGATGTAGTATAGATGCAATAGTAACAAATGCTACCCTAACAGCTTTTGCCTGGTTTATACATTGAAAACAGTTAAAGCTGTATCATTCTGAACGTTAGCTAGAAGAGCAAGGTGGTAATCCTGCATTAAATTGATAATTACTGTAAGCATCACATTGTGGATATACAGTTCAGCTGTTGGATGCGCTTAAAAGTACTTAAGATTTGGTTTGCTTGTTTTAAACTGTACTAATTCATCTCACAGAGCCACTGTGCTAAGCTGTAAAGTTACATTAAGCTTAGCTGGATAGATGGTCCCATATCAGAATCCTTCCTTTCATGAAACAAAGAAAACTTAGCTACTGTACACTAATAGCTTGATGTTACAAAGTAGGGCAGTGAAAATATCTAATCCCTTCAAACAGCCTCAAAAAGTTGTTAGATTTAGCGTAAATAACACTAATTTGAAAACACAGAAGTATGTGGAATCTATGAGAACACAGATCTGCAAATTAAACAAAAGCTTAAGTTTTAAAGTGGAGGAAAATAATGCTGAAAATAAGTAATGGCATTTTCCTGTAGATTTTTTTTTTAATCAGGTAGTTGCCCTGTAAGACTGCTTAAGACATGGTTACCTTTTTCCATATACCAGTGCTTTTAGTTTTGGGTGTTTATGTTTCTGTGTGTAGCTGGGTATTTGGCTGTGGTTGCATAAAAATATGTAGCAATACATACCCTGGAGGATTATAAATAGCAAAAGCGTATTTGGGAAAATTTTACATCTTCCTGATACAGTCTTTCAACTGATGCCTTAAAGACAGCCAGAATTGTTACTAGCTATTAAGGTTATCTAATCTTTGCATGCAGGAAATGGAGCAGTCAATGAACATGCTGAATTCCAACCATGAGCTGCCAGATGTCTCTGAATTCATGACAAGACTTTTTTCTTCAAAATCTTCCAGCAAGTCTGGTAGTAGCAGCAGTAAAGCAGGGAAAAGTAGTTCTGGGAAAAGGAGGTAGTTAAGTCTTCTTCCTAAGCCTGAGTTTGCACAACCGTTTGTTATGTTGTGTCATGTTTATTTGTCTTGAAAGATCAAAAAGCCACTACTGTAAACTTTCATCAGGCACAAAACATGGTATGCTACAACTGTGGTGCATAGCTTTTTTTAGTCTGTATAAGCTGTTTTGTACTTGACAGTAAGTAAAAGAGGACACTGCTTCAATACTGTATCTGTATAAAGTTATTGATGATACTGAATTAAGTATATTGTTCTGTAGAGAATTATAAATTATATGATGTGCTAGACAGTAACGAATGTCTTAATCATAAGACAGTGTATAAAACAAAGATAATAGAAGTGGAATTCAGTCTTAAGATGGCTTTAATGTTTTATACTTGCTGTTGAGTTCTGAAATGAACAGATTCTTTCAAAATTGAGTCATGGGTTTACCGAATAAGAAAGTTGCTGTATCAGCCTGTCATATATGTTACATATAAAATTATTTTATTTCACAGTGTTTTCTGTCTGGACACCTTAGTTCAAGGACTTCCCAATTTTTATTGCCCAGTTTTACTCTGATCTACTTTCTGCTAAAAACTCTTTTGGCGGGGGGGAAAGCAAAGCATCCTGCATCAGAAAGTCTTTTAAGCTCTGTCAATTATGAATCCAAGGTATCTATATAAAATGATGAATGTTTATCTTGGATCTTTCTAAATCACATGTATCACTTCTTCAGCACTTGGTTCTTACTGTTTTCTGTGTACTGTGCATTCTTCTTATCAGTGGTAAGATTTGAGGCCAAATACAGAACAAAATGTTAAAAATTTAAGAAAATACCTAAAAGTACAATTGGAAGGTAAATCCCACTCATCTTTTAAATTATGTTCCAAAATATACATGACTGTCTCTAGGTATGCTATGTCACTGGCAAAATTTTCTTTGAGCATGCCTGTGTCCTGCAATATCTTCAAGCTACCCAGCAACTTCACAGAAAAGTTGAAAGGATTGATTTCCACTACATGAACATTTGCAAATTAAAAAGACAACAGTTCCTACCAAACACCATTAACAAATGTCCATAAATCGTTTTTTCTTGTTTGTTGGGGGGTTTTTGGCTTTTTTTGGTTTTAGCATAAATGCTGTTCTTTTCCACTTTTACAATTGCTAACTTCTTAGGTAACAGTACCCATGTAGTATGGGTAATGTATATCTGATTTCAAAAATGGTATTTAACATTCACCTAAAGTACACCTGAAGCAAAATCAATTCTAATACATTTATTTGTTCTGCCAAACACTTAGGAAGGCTATAAATTGTCTTAGAATACACTTAGAAGTGTGCTGTGAAACATAAAAGCTGCAAAAGAATAAGTACTCATTCATAGGATGAAGTAAAATTTGAAGATGTTGGAGAAGAAATAAACTAATGTTTTTTGGACAGTGAAAGATTTCAGTCTTTGCAAAGCAAGCTGCACATTTTTGGTCTTGTTTTTGTTTTGCTTGAATGGTCTTTTTGTTTTGTATATTATGTAAAATATATCTTCTGGAAGGATTTACTGAAATGAGTATCATGTTGCCTTTGTAAAAAAAAAAAACAAAAAAAAAAACCCCAAAAAAACAAACACAAAACCAAAAAAAAAAAACCAAAACCCAAACTAACAAACCAAAACCTCTTTCAGCATCTTACTGAAAAATTCATAGGAAAAACAGGGAGCAGTTCTTTGAAGATGGAGCAGTTAGTTTTGTTACTGTGCTGTCCTGGAAAGTACAAGCCACAAGTTACTCTTGTTTAACAGTAATTTGAATTACAATTAAGTTGAATTAACTTGTTTTAATCACAGTTTGTTTGGTAATTAATCATACCTATACATTTTTCCTTGTTACAAAGGTAAGGACAGTATTTCTGCCTTCTTTCATTGTGTCTGTTCAAGGTCTTGATCTGCCTTTAAGGGAGAATGGAGAACTCAGGCCATGGAAAGATGAAAGTCTCTGTTAAGAGTTCAGAGTACACAAAATTAACAGGAATGGTAAGGATCCTAATAAAACTTTGGAAGGACTATATGGAATATTCAACACTCTTTCCTAGAAATTATGTATCAAGGTCCAGGCAATTTCTTTGTCATCAAGATCAGATGCAGTATACCACTCCTCTGCCTTCAACAGAAAACTCTGTTCCACCCCCACAAACCTGTTACCTGAACATTCCAAGCCCAAAAATCTTGTTACCCGATGCTACTCCCTTGATCATATATGTTACTCCTCTCCTTTTCAGACACTTTTGCGATAAAGTGTATTGGTCTGATGCTGAAGTAATGCTAGTTACAATGGCACCAATTTATTTGATAGCTTTTCTATTGCAGTTACTAGTATAGTGCAGGGTTGTCTTTATGCAGAATGTAAATGTTTGCTATAGTTTAGTTTTAATGTCATCTTTTATAGATTTTTAGTAGTCTGTCTTCTGTGTTAGGTTTGACATCTCGGTTTTACCAAAAAATTTAGCTGCCTTTTAGCGAGGCTACTTGAGAGAGCATAAGGCCAGACGGTAAGTTGAAGCAGCTGACACCTCAGAACAGAAATTAAAGATGTGCAGAATCTGCTTGGACTACGGACAAGCTGATTGCCAAAAGGAGGAAGACTGGCTCCCTCAGCTTGGACTGGGTAATCCTACTGCCTTCTCCCTACAAGTTCTGGTTCTTCTCAAGCTTTTACCATTCATTGACTTAACAAGATAAATTTGTCCATGTTTGCTGGGTTTCTGTTATGTGTTAGAGAGTGAGATCGGCTCACAGAAAGAACTACCAGAGCCAGCAGAAAGCACCAGAGGCATGCTGTCAGAAGCAGGAACTCGGTCTGGCAGTGAGTGTGAGTAATACAGTCAGCTCACTGCATCTGAAGGATTTTGTAGCCTAAGAGCTCATCTAGCCATGTTCTGTATCAGTGGGCAACTCTATGACAGGCTCTGTAGAAGGGAGAGGAAACATTTTGCTGAAGTCTTTCAAATACTAGTCATTTAAGATAGCTTGGAAGGTGATTAGAACAGTTTTTGAAATAATTTTAGCAATTACTTCATCAAAGATGCTTCCATTCCTCACATGTAAGGAAGAAATGTATAGATATCACTGTTTAAAACGAAATAATTTTTGATGTTCTATCTTTTTGACGAAGTGGGATGGCCGTGGCGAGAAAGACTTGTGGTTAAGATTTGTGTTTGTGAAGAGGACCTGAAACTCTAGAATCAAGTGCCTTGGGTTCTGATGCAACTTTTGGGCTTTGTGCAAATCATTTATGATTTCTTTCAATTTCTGTGTATGAAGAGTGAGAAGATTGTCTCATAAAAGTAATTGTAAGAATAAATCTAGTCATGAACATCGGGTCTCAAATAGTATGGCTATGAGCTTACTGAAGAAAAGCCAGTAAGTAATCTTAAAGAGCACCTTTATTAAGCATTTATGTGTAGTTCTCTATACATATTAAAGCAAGCCTTTTATGTAGCCACATGTCGAGACTTCCAAAGCAATCTAGGCTGTTTAAGTACATAACTCTTTTCCAATTTAGTGAGAAGTGTGTTAAATCACTCAAATACATTTAAACATCACTTGGGTGTTACTGGATCTTTAATTGCATAAAGATTGTGTGTGATCAGTAGCTCAAATAGGGCAAAGTTTGTTTTACAGTTTGATAAAAGGACCCTGTTTTTACAGGCTAACAGTGATAGCAGTACCTCAAGGTCCTAAAAGGATTTTTCATTTTTAAGACGTCATGTCTGACCTTAATCCTGCTGCTATTGATAGTAGATTGTGAATTTGCATTCCTGACACATCAGGATGAAGTACAGATATATATATATAGATATATATATATATTATGCTTATTTAATGAACTGAAGGAGCATAGAAATGTTTATATCTACTGTTGATGGGCTAAGGGAATACAGAACTTAACATTTTGAACTTTAAATCAGGGGAAAGGCAGATTTACTGAAGAAAGTAGATTGAAAGGTTAAAAAAAAAAATTGAGCTTTTGCACATTCTTGAGCAGGAAAAGCACAAGTTGCACCTGTGGTGCACAGGGCACTGGGAAGATCCTATTTTTATTTGGCTTAATAGTGACCTGTATCTCCAAAGGGACCTGACACTAAGGCCAGCTTGCCTGGAACAACTTCTGTGCATGCTGTACTCCAAAACAGAGTGCATAGACTCTGCGTCTCAGGAGTCATTTTTTGCCCATGCTGACTTCCCTACCATATCCAGGAATTAGGAGTGAAGAGTGTTGTTATTTGACATATCCAAAACTGTATTGACAACTATCACAAGCTTAATTCTATGAATCAGCAGATTCCTGTGTTCAGGGAAGTTTTCTGGCAGTGTTTCATTTAGTAAGATATTTGAAGCTATAGATTTAAATGAGAACAATTTGGAGAAAGACCCCCAAGATAATGTAAGGACATGAAAATGACTGAAGAAATTTTAAGGATTGCTGCCATGGCAGATTTGACCAAAATACTGAATTTTGCAAGAAAACAACTTTTTAAAAAAATGTAGATGAAAAATGGTTTTGTGATGATCTATAGACTTCTCTTTTAGATGACTAACGTTGGCAGTAATCTAGCATATATGGACAAATGATGGTAAGAGAGCAAATGAAGATGTCTGGCCTCTTCATGACTCATATATATCTGTATGTCAGTAACTGTACTCGCAGCTTTTAGGAGAGCACAGACTTCTGAATTTGCCTATTAACACCTGTGAGTGAAGAAAAAGCAGTGATCCCATGTTTCTTTCCAGCTGGGTAAGATTGCTATGCTATTCAGGGGAGAGATCTGATCAGTCTTTTCGTCAGTCACTACATAAAATCTGGACACCCATTTAAGGCTCTCTAAATGGTGTAATCTAGCCACTGAGCAATCCACCTTTCCCCCACTATTAGTGTAGGCTTCATTCTGTGTGATAGTCTGTCAATGGGCTGACTAAATATGAAACACGTTATTACACTTAAGTGCCAAAAAGCAAGCAATATCAATTGGGAAAAAAAGAATGTCAAAAATCTTACAGCTTCCATCATTTCAGTGTCTGTAAAGACAGGACCTTAGTGTTTTGAACTTGATACTGTGTGTAAAATCTGGTGATTCGGACCATAAAATAATAGAACATTCAGGGAGCTTTTAGTCACAGAACTGTCTGTAGGAATGGTATTGAATTTTGTCTATTTTGAGCTTAAGCTAGTGAAAGTTCCTTGAGGTCACAAATAGGTTGGTTTTTTTTCCTGTTTAAAAATCTATAAGGGGTTATGAGTCCTTTGTTATTTATAATAAGTATTGATTCTTCAGGAAACCCTGTCTACTTTTGAAATTACAAGGTTATTCCTTCAAATTATGCTAGCAGTGACTCTTGTGTAATACTTTGTTTTCAATAAGGTTATGAAGATTTAATGACAATATAATTTTCTGTGCAAGTGAAACTTAGCTACTTAGCTCTTCTGTTGATGTTGCACAAAAAGCATGGCAGTTGAACTCACTTTTGTTATGTATTTGGTTCTGCATGGCTGATAAGAATAAAAATTAATTAAGGACTGTCAGTCAAGGACAAAATGGTAGCAAATATACAACAGAAATAAAACCTTTCATGGCATTTTTTGACCAAAACTCGATTTTGAACTGATTCTTTAAAGCCGAATACAAACATCAAAAATTACTTCAAAAGGTGGCGAAACTCATTTGAAAACAGAGAAAGTGAAAAATAAAAATGTTTTTAAAGGAATATTTTCTGTTTGAAATACTAGAATGTGCTCCTCAGAAGGTCTCTGGATCCTTTAAAAATCTTCTTGCTGCCTGGTAAATGGAGGAGTACCGTTTCCTTTTGTGTTTCAAAAAGGAGAATAGGACACCCAAGATCATAGGCTGGTGTGTAGGGCACAGGACTGCTGTTCACCGTGCAGATGCAAGGACAATGCAGTTACATACTTGGGGTAATACTTCACATTCCTGGGATCAGAACAGAATAAGACTTTGAACTAATTTTGGGGAGCAGGGAAGAATGTTTCTTTCCCTACTAGTTTGTTTTCTCAATCGTTCATAGATGCATTTCAGATTGCTTCAACTTGGCAGGTGGGAAATATATAAACTGCATTAATAAAGATTTAATTTCTTGACCATGGTAGCAGAACACCCTGAGGTGAAAGAGTATCAAGAAATGGGAGATCAAGATCAAGCCTCCAAATGAGTTGGTATTTTTGCAGTGCTAAACGTTATCTCTTACAAAGAGGAGGAGCTCTGATGAGAGGTGAAGCAGTGTCCTGGTTCAGCTAGGATAGGGTTAAGTTTCCCCAGCAGGGAGGGGGAAAGGATCGATCTCCAGGCAGGTTATTCATACCATGCTGAGGTCAGGTCCGGGCGCGGGAGTGTGGAAACTTTCCTTTGTGGCTTTGGTGCTGGGGAGCACGGGGCTGTCTGTAACCATTGCAGTATTTCTCTGTATATCTTTTATCTTGTTTACTCTTATTGCTGTTTATTGTTATCATTGCTACTGTTGTTGTTCAGATTGCTTATTACACTGTTGTATTAAATTTCTTCTTATTTTAACCTGGAGTTTGTGCCCTATTTGTGTCCAAGGCTGGGGGAGGGACAACGGCAACGTGGTCTCTGGTCCCAGCAGGGCCTAAAACAACACAAGCAGTTATTAAAAGACAAGCTTATAGTGGAATAAGTACAGCATCCATCCTATTTACCCAGAGTGATGAGAATCAAACATGGTGGTATTACCACATATGTGATTAAAGGATCCAGATGGTTCTTAAAAATAATACTTAAACCTGTAGATTTGTAAGGGTCCCCCACATCTTGGGCATGTGAATCTATGGATGATGGAGATTCCTTGAGAAAGCTTATCTTGTAATCCTCTCATTTTTGGATTTGAATTGTAGTGTTGATACTCCCTCTTTTGTTTTCATTTGGGGTTTTTTGTATTTTCATTTCACATATTTCATTTGGGTTTAATTGTATTCACATTGTATTTACACAGAGTTTTTTCCCTCCTATTTGCCCTTCATTTTTATGAAGACTCTAAGGGTCTTGTTGAAATTGCTGTAGCAAAATCTGTTCAGGTGGTGCTGGCAGAAATAATTGTATACATCACTTGTGCTTTCAAGTGTATCAGTGGTAGCAACCAATTATTTCTCACCAGGTAGCTAGCTAATGGTGGAGAGGTCATTTGTTCTGGAAGGATCTGATCAAATTGCCGTGCTTGCTTTGTAATATGTTTGAGGTGTATTTTATTGTAGAATTTTCTGCAAACCCTTTAAGTGTACCCTGTGGAGAGTATCAGAAAGATTGTACAGAGTTCACTGAAAATACAAGATATTAACAAAATGCACTGTTTACGGTTTTTCCGTTGGGGGGGGGAATTGAAGAAAATGTCTAGAGGGCCTGTGTAGCTCCTCTGGAAAAATGTCAACTTAAATCCCAGTACGTAACACTGAAAGTCACCTGCTGCTTTCAGCCTACTTCATTAGTATCACATCAGAAAGAAACACACTTGAAGAATTATGCCTCTTTCAATCTGGGATGCGTATTACAAAAAATCTGCATGCTCTCCTTCATGC